GTCGAACATGAGGCAATCAGTATGACGGCTAAAGCTATTTATTATTCCAAAGACAGTGGCAAAAGCTACAATAACATGTCTCAAAAACGACAGAATCTGTGTATTGCAATGAGTCAATCTAAATTAAGGGCGTGTTGTAGAGAGACTTTGGCAGACTTTGTGCATAAACAAATGCCTGTAAACCTCACTGAACTAAAGTGACATTGTAAAAAACGGCAGGCCAAAATTACACAGCACCATGAGAAACTGATTTTGTCAGAAAGAAAGCTGTTGCTTCCGAAACTTAGTGAATCATGGGCTTTTTTCCCGCTGCATTTTGGCTTTGTTTTTGTTAAATAAATTCATGTTGAATTGTGATGTGTGTGTCTGAGGCTGAAAAAACTTTTTAATTGTCACAATGTTAAAAGGACCGCTGGGATAGGCTCCAGTTCCCCCCGCGACCCCATGAGGGAATAAGCGGTATTGATAATGGATGGATGGATGGACAATGTTAAAAGATATGAATTGATTCATTAATTAGTTAATTAATAGGTAAAACACAGGCGTGTATGATCTTGTGTTAGTGGCTTTAACTTTGTTAAGCAGTGGGATGTGCAAGGTTGTTGTTTTTTTGCCTTGACATAATCTTTATCAACCCTAAGAAAATGGTTTTGATTATATATTTATTGCTGGCAACTGGTCAGAAATAAAACTGCTCTTTTATAGAATCATTACTCAAAACGGGGAAAGATCAACTATGGAGAGACTGGCCTGACAGAAAGGTCAGCATGTAAGGAGTTAGAATAAAAGTAAGGAAGAGTGAAAAGACAAATGTGAAGAGAGATGCAGAGGGAGGGAAGGGACACAAAAGAAATGATGGGGGAAATGTGCTCTGGCTGAAGATGAAGAGAGATTCTTAGAGATTACAATAATACTGGAAAAGGCCAGAGACAAATCTGAGGGGGAGAGGTTTACAGACATTCAATAAGTCTGTAAGGCTAAGGAATATGATCCATTTTGATGAGTCATGAACACAGCGTTAAAAAGAGTAATAGCCGCAAAACATAGCAAATTTTGATGAAAAAGGAACGTGTAGTAAAGTCACAAACTTAGCTTCAAGTGTTTTACCTTTACTGAGTTTTATAGAAGTGCACTGTGAAGGTGAGACTTGAGCAGTGACTAATTTCCACTGCAGCAATGCTGACGGATGGACTAAGGGAACCTTATTTCACCCTATAAATTTTTTATTCCTAGATCCTCCAAACTATTAGCCGCTTCCCCTTTGCTCCACTCCTCTGTCTTCACACCTTTCTACGCCTTTCTTTCGTTATGCAACCTCTTCTGAGCTCTCCGCTGGAAACAAATTTAGAAGAGCTAAGACTTGATGCTTTTTAAGAGCCGGAGCCAGAGCTTTCGCATTTATTGAAACAGAGGGAGCCATGTCTAAGTTAGGCCCTTGCTCTCTTTACTGGATCTGCTTTGGTGGTAAGGTACAGTCAAGTGTTCCTGGGCCGGGGGGTGTCTTTCTCAAAGTTCTGCCCTCAGATGCTTCTCTCACTGAGGCTAGAATTAGGGGTCATTTGGAGCCAGATCAAGGCTGAAAGGCAGCCATATAATCTTCTGCCATTCTGAGGCCTCTGAGTTCTGAGGCCCAGAGTTCCCTTTTTGGGCTTAACATCAGTCCAACTCATCCTCCACTCAGTGGTATGGTCTGATTTGCTATCCCTTGAATCACCGAGCCTGTGTGATCTTTAGCTGCCCCTGATCAGGCTACAGAAGCTGACAAATTAGAGTGTTTGCATGTCTTGGGCAGACTCTTACTTCCGTTTCAGTATAAATCAGCCCAAATACGCAGGAGAAAACTGCTCCTGACTAGGTGTTTTGTGGTTGCTTAAAGAGTTTTTTGCTTGCCACTTTAGATTGTTCCTGCGACCCCGCGGTATAGAAAATGGATGGATGGACCTTAGATTCTGTAAAGTTATCTCCATGGATTAAAATCTGAACAACTGCTGCTCCTTTGCTTGGCCATGGCTGTTTGGTGTCTGTTGTCAAATTTGCTGTGATGATGGCAGCACATACAGAATATTCCAAAATGTAGTGCACATTACACACAACGTGACCTATTTTGACTCTTAAGGATGTGAAATGTATTTATATGGTGTTCACATTTGGATCACCACAGTGATCTTAGAAACTGGAGAAATCGCAGATGTAGCTTAATGTATTTCTTTCTACTTCAGTGATATAAACAGTTTTTTTTCATTAGCGAGAGGGTTTTGGGATTTGAAGTTTACTTAATAACTATTTTATTTATAGTTCTTAGATAATGAAAGTTTGAATCTATACAAAATGTCATTGATAATGTAGATTCTGAAATTCTGCACTGTGATAAGAATTTGCATCTTTATGCAGAGAAAATAATTGTTTTCTGATGGTATACGTAGATATAACCAGTATTTGTAGTACAGAAACTAGTCCTTCCAGCACACAGCTGTCGTCATCACACCTTGATACAATAAAAGTGTAAAAATAAGCCTTAACACCATGGAAGTTCACAGCTTGTTTGGATTCTGGGGTAAAGTGTAAACTGATTTCCACCGTGAATGAAAACAAAGCAAACAAATGGAGATTGGCTGTGATAAATGTGATTTGTCACACAATGCCAGCTTGAAACAACTGTCCTCTTGCATTGATTTAACAATAATATTGACATTTTCTGCATGCTTAAGTAGAAAACTAAACTTTAACTGACAAAACAGAAGTAAATCAGACTTATTATCAAATATGGCATGAACACGAATAATACACAATTATTCAGTGCTACTAGTGACATTCTTGTCTCTGCACAGCTGATATATTTACATTTCTGGCACCTTAATAACATCTGATATATCAGACCAACAGAGCACTTTGTGTCATTGCTTTGATAGAGAGCATTAATGTCCAATTTGTTTGGTTTGATGAATTATTAAAGCACTTCTGAAGAGATAAATACTGTTTGTCCGTACAGTGTGGCTAGAGCAGCACATTGTATTCACGTCAGCACAAACCTGACCGGTAAGCAACTTTCATGAAAAGTTTTGTCAACACTTCGAAACCATTCACTTTAAAAAGCAGGTTGGCTGTGCTCCTTTGGTCTATCTAACTATAAAAGATGTGTTCTGATCCAAGATCCCTTATAATGACAAATAATATTACTGTAATATTCATACAAGTATGTTTACCAACATTCATATAAGCATTCACATGAAAAAAAAAGCCATTTAATGTTGGCAAAAATGTTTAGCCTGGTTAACTGTAAGCTACTAAATGCTATCTCATTACTTGACTGGCCTAACAAAATGCTCTTTTGAAGTGTGAGTTGCCTCCTGTTAAATAAGACTGCCGATATTTGCTGCTTTTAAAGCTGCAGGCTAATCCTGTCGATTTCAGGGCAACTTCAGTCTAGAGATCTGGATATCCTTGATCACTTGGTTCAAAAACTCAAACAGTGTTCCAGAGCTCCGTACCCTGCTCAGCTTTAGCTCTCCATCCACATCCTCCCCACACTAACTTTGATAGAGAAGCCTTTGCTTTGTCATCAGGTTTGCGTTGTTGGAGGATCTTATTGTTTCGCTCCTTTGTGAATATTTTGCGCGCCTTGTATGAATAAAGCTGAGGTGAAGACAGACGAGGGTGGATGTTTGAGAAAGGCAGCATGTTTGTGTTAGTGTCATCATTATGCTTTCCCGGCTCCAGAAAAGTTTTGCTTTAATATGAGTCTGAGAGTTGAGAATAACTGTATTCCTTCGTTGTTTGATTATGAAAACATTTCCCTGCTGCGTGTGTGTATTATGTTTGTGTGATGATGAATACACGTCTTCTCCTCTGCTTTTTTTCTGACAGCTGAGAGGATCTATTCACGGCTGCCTCAATGAGGAGCGAGTGTGTGGGTTTGTGGATATCTGTCACTCAGCTCCTCTTGCTTTATGCCTTCAGTGTGAGTTAGATTTGGCAAAGTTGGGCTTAATATTCTTGTGATCACAGGAGGATTTGGCTTCTGCTAAAAATGCCACATCTCTGCGGCTCACAGAAGGTTCTATATCTATCTAGTCTTAATGATACCGAGATTCACGACTTGTATTAACTTTGTGAGTTTCACAAAAATCTTTTTTTCTCAGGGAAAAGATTCATTAGGTCTCTGTCTTATCTATACATCTCTCTCTACCTCTTAACTTTCTCACATTTTATTCCTTTCGCAGGACTTTCTCATCCACTTATCCCTCCCCTCCATATCTCTTTCCTATTTGACAAGCGTCTGCCCATCATCCCGCAATAAGATGCTGTTTCTCTCTGCATCAGAAATGCTGCCATCTTCCTGGGCTTCAACAGCCTCAGCTCTCGCTTTGTGGAACTGCCGGCTCTCCACTTCTCGACAAGCTGTGACTGTCAGCTGTTATCCCATCAGTCCCTGTTTCTGCTTCTGTCTTGTTGTTCTACTCCATCCATTTGGCTGTCTTTCTTTCTCTCTGACTTTGCTTCTGGCTGTCTGGCTCAGCCCTCCCGCCCACATGCGCTCCTCAGTAGCCCCCGTTTGATTGACTCTGGCTGCTGAAATGGCAGACGAAGGCAACGCCACAGCACCGCTACAGCTGTAATGTTCTATTGTTAAAGTTGTCATCTCTTAAGTTTAAAAAGCATTTCATGTGTTGCCTGTAAATGTATTGTCATTGAAACAGAACTGCAGAGCTCCTGATCCTCCTGGAGAGCAGAGAGGCCCGGCTGCCGGCGACTCGGGACTCCAAGACAAACATTCTACTCCCTCTGAGGTTTGGTGACAAGAAAGCCACGGCAAGACCTTTGCTCTGCCTCACACCCCGGAGTCACGTTTGTGATCCTGGCTGCTCCAACGCTAACGGGTCGAGTCGTTTCAGGCACATTCATGTGTTACGTTTTTTGGTTTCCCATCTCAGTCTTTAGCATCTCAGAATCTACTTGAAGGAATACTGCTTGCTCAAATTAGGCGCAGACTCTGCCGATAAATGAAGGGTTTACTTTTATTATCAGGCCAGGCCACCCTGAACAATGACTCCAAATGGCATCCTGTGAAGTACCACCATTACAGGCTGCTAGAGGTAAGTAAAAATCCTGAGTCCTCAAGTTTATTATATTTGCTTCAGTCATAACATTGAGATCACATGAAAACTACGATTACGCTTTATGAAAATTTTGTTTTAGCATCAATTGGTCATTCAAGATTTCTTATGTTGAGGTTAGAATATCATTATTGTTAGGCCTGACATATATTTCACCAAGTCACAGTCACCATTGAGAGTTCAAGTTTTGCACTTGGTTGCTATTGAAGGTTGTTTCAATGGCCTGAGCGGATCATCAGCTCTTTTTCAGGCGGAATTTCCTTACAACACTTTTTTTGGTTCAACAGTCCATGACCATCCAGCAGAATTTCTCTTAAAACTGTTTGAATTAAACAATAAAATGAAACATAAAGATATTTTTCAATCATGTTAAAATAAATTAATCTTAAATTTATCCCACACCATAACTCAGGTACAGAGGCAGATACCAGCATTAAGTGCACCTTGACTGGTTGGGCAAGGCATGCCTACACCTGCAAGGTGAAATTCCATATCCTTGCAAGCATATATTTTCTGCATAACAAAATGTTTAATGGATATTGGATTGATTTGGCTTGTTCAGATGGAATCTCTCAGTCCCTGTATCGACCCTCTGTTTCTTTGCTCCCTTGAGCTCATCAGCATGATTTGCAGCTATTTATTTTAGCAACAGAGACCTGTGTGTCGCTTTTTTATGGTTTGTTGCTTTTCTGACACGCCTTTCTGGAACTGGGGAAATGTCACTGTTATACATCAAGCAATTTGTTTGTTTGGGGAGTTGAATTTTTATCGTCTTTTCTTTGATTCATTTTCATCCCTCCGTGCCCTCCCTCCTCTTTGCCTGTGTGGAAGTGGCAAAGGACAGTGTCAGCATCTCAACTGCGGCTGCTGCTTCCTAGCTATATTTTCTCACAAAGCAATACATTAGATCAATTATTTTATGTTTATTTAGAGAGACACAATTCTTTTCACTGCCTTCATACAGTTTGGAGTTTGGTCTTACACCACACACACACACACACACACACATGCTGTAACTAATCATAATTAATTTACACTCCTCAATGTGTAATATTTTGACAGAGGATGTGCAAACATAGCTCTTTTACTTTGTTTTATCACTTTAAAGCTACCCTTGATGCCTGTTTTTTTTTAAACAAGACTTCTGCACTCTGTAACAAAGAGAAAATTGTGGACTTGATTGATTAATTTGTTCACTCATTAAGCTTTTTAAGCCAGTCTCACACAGCTCAAAACGTGCAAAGGAATGGGTGGGAGATCTTAATGTGCCATTTGTCTGTATTGTAATTGCAAGATTACAGGTTTGTTTACTGTGGGGGACATTTAATGTATCATAGAGCTGTCAAGGTTTATTGTGAACCGTAGATTTTATTGTTAATGTTCATGGTGAATCTGAAATATCTTAACTTAAATTTGACTCGTAAAGCATAATGTTATTCATAGTTGTGTACAGACATGGTTTTGGTAATCTGAAAGCAATTAATTTGAGCTCCGTGCTATCAGAAGATGGTGGACCCAAACTCAAATTAGGGGATTATTCAATCTGAGACATTCTTCACTTTTTATCTGTATTTCATACAGCCTTACACCTGACACTGCTGTAGATTTTAGTAAAAAAACTGAGTTTTGTCAACATCTAAATGGCAGACCTGTCTCTCTGTGTTAGAAAACGTGACCATAAAATTGAATGTGTCCCCCACAGCTATCAGCCACACAAAACAAAACAAAAATTCTGAGTCATCAGTTTTTCTGCTATCAGCATGGGTATAATTGACTCAGTTTGACCAACCCTAGATTTATTTATTTATTTGTTTATTCATTTTTGCTTTAGCTCTGAAAAATAAAGGAATGTGATCATTTAAAGACAAAAGCAAGGTTAAACCGAAAAAATAGAAAGAAGGACATGACAAAACCCATTAGCCACAACAAGTCTTTAAGTCCCCGATTCTGGGTCAAGACATTGAGGCTCTGAATGTCTTCCTGATGTGTCACTGTAGATATAGGAATGTGCTTTGTGTATATTATTGAATTAAAGTGATGTTTGCGCGTGCCCATTATACTGAAAGCACTTTAAGAGATAAACGAGACTAATTGGACTTATAGGCCTTGGAAAGTCAAAGAAGGTTCGTACAATGTCTGAGTAAGTTTTGGGTGAAACACTACTCCTCTGAGGTGACCTTGCTTCACATCTGTTAAGCCTTTTGTAATTAGTCTTGCATGTTTGGTTTTATTAAACAGTATAAAAAGATGCTTTGCCTGTAGAACTGAGGAATCAAAATTGATGTTTGAATAGAGAGTCTTGCTGGACTCGCAGTCTGTCCAGGGAGTACTTTGTTTCCAGGCTGGTGGAGGCTGACACAGGCTGCAGTCCCTCCCAGAATGGGAAATATTACGAAGAAATTAACAAGTTTTGAGTGGGCTTTAATGCAGACATGCAATAACGCATTAGTGCAATTGGGATTTCCCTGGTAATTAACACCATAATTGAAGTTAGCATTATATTCTGGCCATGTTAGTGTGGATATCAGCTAATCTTTTCCATTCCCTGATGTGTGGGTGCTCCTTGTCTTTCTAATGGATATGTGACTTGGACAAGCACAAACTTCACCGTCAGTCTTTGAATTCTCTCCTTTCTGAAACAGAAACCTTCTCACCACCATCCTGCAGGCAGTCAAGAAGCAGATGCGGAAAAACCACACATCTTTGCAATTACATGTTCACATTGTCTCGAGGCCGATATTAAAAACTCATATAAACATAGAAAACATTCACAGAAATGCAAAACATAATTCCCCTTTGCCCCTATATGCCCCCCAGGAAGCAAAACCCATCATGAATGAGCATGACCTTCTCCGATAGTCTCCCCCCGTCCTCAGTGCATCCTTTAGGAAAGAACTACGTTTCAACAGATGGTTTGGAACTGGTCTGTGGCTTCAGTGTCTCTGACTTTGAGAGCAAAGCCTCATTCAATATTCAAGCAAACCATGTCAGCGTTTTGCCAAATTTGCCATCAGTCCATAAGACATGTTGACAACTAGATTTACCAAATGATGGAGTGAGGTTATGGATTTTGTTATGGGGGGATAGAATTTACATGGTGATTTTTTTTTCTCTCTTTCTCATTAGTAGGCAACTCTCAACCACAAATACAGACTTAACTGAAACAGAAAGTCCTTTCATATTCTGTCAGAGTAAAGGCCAATTAGACTAATGGATAATGACGATCTAACTCAAAGGCTTGAGACTGAACGTACTCATGGCCTTTGTTGAAATGTCCTTCTTTCCACTTCCACTCCTGTCATGCCTGAGCACTTTGCAAATGACAAATTTGACTCACCCTTGGTGTGGTGTGTTGCTGTACATTTACACTTTTACATAGACAAGTATCAAATGAAAAGAAGCAACATGAAGTGTCAAATAATGATAGTGGGGCACCATGTTTCATGTGATGAGCATTCATTTGCTTTGTACAAGGGACTCTAATAAAGAGAACACCCTTCTGCAGACGGATATTCCCTCATTTGTTGTACAGACTGGGCTGGGATATGGATCCAAAATCTAACATGTGTTCGGTTTGGTTGAGATTTAGTGACTATGAAAGCCATGTCACAAAATTGACATAATTTTCACACTAATCAGACTATCTAATGACCCATTGGACTGTATGGATTGGCGCCTAGACGTCCTAGAACAAGCAAATCTGGTGATGGTGATCGCTGAGAGCAACATTGGATTGATTTGCAGTGACCCTGCATTTCAGAGACTAACAGACCCAGACCCTCACCGACAAAATGCCCCCCACAGTACAAAAGAGCCCCATCTTCTCCTCATGGGGCTCTAGGGTTGAGGTTTGTTTTGTTTTTTTTTACTCGCTACCTCTCCTGTTTATACAATATGATTACTTGTTTAATATACCCTCATATTGTTCAGATATCAATGTGACAGTAATTTAAGATGTTACTTTTCAATACAGAAAGTAGAGGTAAAAATGTTTACGATCATGTGAGCTGCAAGTTCAAACAATGCAGTAATCTGGTGAAAGGTTCTTACTCATTGTACTTTAGATGAATCTAAACATATATGTGTTAAAGCTTAGTGCCCACGGATATTTTTTTCTTGGAAAGCGCAGTGCGGCTGCACCTTAATGACAGAGGCCATTTCAGAGTCCCCCCCCCCCCCCCCTTGCCTCCTATCCCCCCCTGTCCCCCCCACTGTGACCTGTTGTGGTCACAGAGTGCCAGCACCACCAAGTGGACAGTGAGATAACTGCTGCCTTTTTCGCTGCAGTCTGTGGAGCTCTGACAGACATGAACGGGGTCATTCAGTCACAGTTAGAAACACGCAAAAAGACTCATGTTACCCAGACTGGATTCAGGCAGCTGGGGCGTGCCAGGCAAAATACTCTCTTTTGATCAGTCTATCACTGCGAGTAGATCAGCTTGTTGTTTATCAAAAGCCCATAATAATTTATCACTCAATTAAACTTGGCAGTAATTTGGATTACTTCTTAAAAATAATCTGACATATATGTGAACTTTATTAGTATTTTTAAATGTTTCAATTCTCCTGGAAATAGTTCTGTCGGAAGCAACTAAATTATTTCAGAGGTTCATCCTTGCAATCTTTCAGTTTCAGTCATGTCTTTCCCAATTTTAACCATCCCAATTTTTCGCTTAAATGAATAGAAAATGTGTATTAAATTACAATCTATTATGAAATGTTTAAAATTGTCCTTGGTCTGATCTGTGCCCGCATGCTGTCAGCAAAGGTAATTTCTTCAGAAAGACGGAGCCTCAGATTTATTTCCTTACCTGACAGCACTGATGGATGAAATATTTAAAGGTTATCTAATTAAATTAAGACCAAACTCCCCTCAGCATTTCTAACATAACTTGTGTCTTCACAGTCTGGAAAAGTACCACAATGCAAATAGAAAATTCTAGATTGCCGTTAAACAAAATCTATATTTCCTTCTCTTT